AGGCCACAGGACTCTTTGTGGCAGAGAACAGGGTTTGAATCCCCACTCGGCCATGAAACCCACTGGATGACCCTGGGCAAGTCACACTCTTTCAGCCTCAGAGGATGGCACAATGGCAAGCTCCCTCTAGAGAAACCTGCCAAGAAAACCCCACAACAGGTTCACCTTAGGGTCACCACAAATCAGAAACTCGACTTGAAGGCACACAACAACAAAAACCAAGATAGACATTGTCATCATTATGGGTTTGATTCCCAGCTCCATTATTGAAACCCTCTGGGTGACCTTGGGCAGTCACACTCTCTCAGCCTCAGGGGAAGCAATGGCACACCCCCTCTAAAGAAACCTGCCAAGAAAACCCCATGACAGGGTCACCACAAATCAGAAACGACTTGAAGGCGTAGTGGTTTGAGCCCTGGACTATACGTACAATAAACTTAGTACGTAGAGAGATCTTGTAGCACCTTTGAGACTCACTGAAAGAAAGAAATTGGCAGCATGAGCTTTCATAGATTTCAGTCTGATGCATCTGAGGAAGTAGACTGAAGTCTACGAAAGCTCATGCTGCCAATTTCTTTCTTTCAGTGAGTCTCAAAGGTGCTACGAGATCTCTTTACATACTGATTCTACAGACTAACATGGCTATATCTTTGAATTCTAGCAATAAACCCATGCATGCTTCTTGTTAACATCTCTTGAGACAGGTCATGGCGACCCTGTGGATGAGACCTCTCCAAGCCCCACTGTCCTCCAATGCTCTGCTTAGGTCCTGCAAATCTTGCCTCTATCCATCTGATGTACATCCTTCCTCTCTTTCTACTTCCCTCCACCTTTCCAAGCATCAATGTCTTTTCCAGTGAGTCATGACTTCTCATGATGTGGCCAAAGTAGGACAGCCCTAATTCAATCATCTTGGCTTCCAAGGAGATGTCAGGCTTAATCTGTTCAAGGTACACCAAAGAACATTCATATGGTTTTGAGGAAGTGCATTGTCAGCAGGCTTCCTAAAAGGTTTGTTTGGCTAGAAGCCTGGCCTGCCTGTGGC